ATGGGGTCACGAAGAGTCGGACACGACTTAACGACTAAACAACAACAACAACAACAATGAGCAGAGATAGCATTTGCCTATTGCAGTTAAGAATTATATATATTAACGTGTCAGAAAAACAGTTCAACTACAAAAAGAGCAATTAGCTTTGCCTTGTAGAGGCCTGGACCAGAGCATATTCACTTAAACTGAGATTTGAACACTGCAGGTTAATTTCAAGCACACGTACCTGTTCAAAGGTAACACTGTGAGAGAGAGATATAGAAACTTTTCCTCAGTTCTCCTGGCATTCACAGCACAACTGCATTACAATCCCTTAATCAAGCCGGGTTAGATTCCTAAGAATATAGCAAAGACTCTATCCTTCCAAACCATTTAATAATTTTAACATCCATTCTGCAGTATATAAAGTGCTGCACATTTAACCACTTGCAAATGGGTGGAGGTTTTGGTGAGGCAGGAGTTCATTCTGCTTGGAAGTGACATAAGAAATATTAGATACCTGCTAATCACTAGAATTTAAAAATCTATATAACATATTATATAGTAATACTCTATTATGGATTTTTTTATAGAGTATAAGTTGCAGGAGTTAACTGAGCAAAGAAGATGTTTGATCACAAATCTGGAAGCAACTGTAGTTGATATACAAAATATATGTCATCGTGCTTCAGAAAGAACTACATTTATACAAACTTCTGGTAAGTAAGAAAAAAATTACTAAGAAGTTTAGAAAAGGTGGCATTGGTTATGCATATTGTTTTGGAACCAGCAATTATTGTAATAATTGAGTCTATTAGAATCCTTATTTGTTGGCTTCCCTTTCTGTTTCTCTGAAGTTTGCAAATTTTCACCTCCAAGGCAGGCTAGTCAGTGTTAGCAGAAAGCAGGATGAAAGATGTAAGAAAGAAGATGTGATGAAGTGGACAAGGTGTACAGAATTAATACAAGTTATGCAAAATTAAGAACAGTTCCAAGAGATATACTTCTGCACTTTGTCAGGAAGAAGACGAGATGAGGTTCTACAACAACATTTCAATACTAAGTTAAGAATAAATAATTCAGAAGTAATTTTGCTCAAAGAGGTGTGTTAGCTGGATTTGAAATTAATAAGGAGAAAATGAAGATGTTAACAAAAAAATATGAGGATGGAAGATCAAAAGGAATTAATTGGAAAAAACTGGTTTTCAGATTGAAAAAAAAGTAAAATACTTGGGCATTGTTATGACTAACAATATTATTTCAAAATTATGGGAATTATGGAATGAAATTAGGAAGGACTTACTGAGATGGGAAAAGTTACAATTATCATTGTTTGGAAGAATCTCTGTGGTGAAAATGAATGTATTACCTAGAATAATGTTTTTATTTCAGACAATATCTATTTTGAAAAATGATACAACTTTTAAGCAATGGCAAGAAATATATATGTAGATTTATATGGCAGGGGAAGAAAGCAAAGGTTAAATATAAAATTCTTCAAGGCGCAAATGAAAGAGGAGTACTAGGATTGCTGGACTTTAAACTGTATTTTCCAGCTGCTGTTTGATTTGGATGAAAGAGTGGGTGTTGCTGAGAAATAAGAGAATGTTAGAATTAGAAGAACATAACCTGAGGTTTGGTTGGCATGGCTTTTTATATACAATAAAGTTAAAATTAATGTAGATTTTAAAATCATTATGTGGATAGTGCCATATTAAGAATATGGAATAAATACAATCCCAGGCTGTGCCTGAAAATATCTTTATTGGTCTCATCACAAGAAGCATTTTACAGAAAAGAAACAGTGGGCAAAGAGAAATGGTTAATATGCAAAGATTTAAGATGAAGTCAAGAGAACAATTGACTGCAGAGGGATATAGTTTTCCATGGTTTTCATATTGAGAGAAAGATTTAATATAGATAAAAAGATTACTGGAATTGAACAACATAAGATGGAATTTGAAATTGAATTATGTACAAATGATGAACATGTGATTGCAAAAATGTATAAACAGTTGCTGAGATTTGAAATGGAAGAACAACAAGTTAAAGACTGCATGATAAAATGGGCTAAGAACTTTGGTTATAACATACAGATGGATCAATGGAAAAAAATGTGGGTAAAAGGATTGAAATTTACATTGTGTTATAATTTAAGAGAGAAAGTTTATAAAATTATGTACCATTGGTATACGACACCAGAGAAATTATCTAAGATATATAAAGGTAATCTGGTTAATGCTAGAAATATGAAAAACATGAAGGGATGTTTCACCATGCATGGTGGACTTATGAAAAAGCAAAAAAAAAAAAAAAATTGGATACAAGTACATATGATGCACTCCTTAACCCAGGCCCCTCTAGGCCATCCAGAACAATACTATGGTTGATGGTTTTGAACCCTGCTGAGAAATTTGAAAGGATCATGAACATTATGCACTCACACTTTCTGGGTCCCAATGAAGGTCTTTCCAGAGCAATAATGCACCATCATCTCCATGAAGGGACGCAGCACCTCCCCTTCCCTCAAAGACATGTTAATCTTCTCCTGCATCCAGCCTCACACGCCATACCTTGTGGTCTGAAGGAGCCAGGTAGGACATGGATCCTGGATACAGATGGTAGTGCTCATGATACAGAAAACCCAATCCACATTCTTGATATCTACAAGCTTGAACGTTCCCAGATATTCTTGCAAGACCCATTTCAAAAGACTCTGCAGAAATGGTACCTAACTAGGATTCATGTCTTTTTAAGAATCTCACAATCATGTAGTGGTGGCCCATGGGAAGAGTTAACTCCATCTTTTCTAAAATGATATGGATAACTCTGAACAAAGCCACTAGATATGAGTCTGCAGATGCAATAATGTCATTCTTTATTGTCACATTGTATACCCGCACATAGTTACCTAACCAAGCTCAGTTTGTTGTTTTCTGTGAGCGTCATTCTTCAGTCACTTCATTTCCTAGAGCTCCTTAGAAAATAGAAGAGCCTCCCAGGATTTGTGACCAAGGACAGTTGACTCACAGGCAGTCTTGAATTTGAATTTGAATTTGGAGTGCAGCAGGACTGTCTGCCTGATAATTGGGAACATCATGGAGTACCCTCAGAAAACCTTCTGGATCCATCAACCAGTTTAACTGGTCCTCCTCTCTTGCAGAGGTTGAGTGAGCTGCCAATATACATGCGTACCAATAAGTGATTCAACCATTACAAGGAACTTAAGACATTGTCCCCCATTTTGAGATTACATCACCATTGGTCCTGGGTAAATGCCAGGTTAAGTAACCATTTATATATGTTGAGCCACAGATTATCTGAAACAAGCCCACAGGTTGCTGTGGAGGTGATGAAATTCCTGGCCTAACTAGAACCCACATGAGGTTAAAGTCACCCAGCAATAAAAACCTCAAAAACTTCAACATCAGTCCAGATTTGAGGTCCAGGAATTTGGGCTTGAAACTGCTTGGTGGACAGATTATAAGCAGGAGCTGTAACTTGTCCCTCAGCTCTAGCTGAACATACAAAAACTCATTCCCAATCAAAAACAGTCAGATCTGTCATACATTGTCTGTTACTATGGAAATTCATTCCCCAATATTTACAGTTTCATGTAAATGTGAGGAAGCAAATTTCCACAGCATAATTTTTCATGATCTTGCCAAAGTGTGTGGTTACATTCCTTCTTTTTTACTTTTCCAGCACACTATTCAAAAAACAAAACTGCTACCATACAGTTTTGCCCTTATCTTTATCTTTTTAATAATTAAAATAAATCTGCATTTTCACATTCCTTTTAATTTGATAAAATGAAATTTTGACTTTTCTTTCACCTAATAAATTATTCTCTCTTTCTCTTTCAAATTGTTAGTCCTTCACCTTTCTATTTTGATTTAAGTGGTCACATTTTCAAGTCTTGACATTCTTACTATATACACAGTAATATGTTAAACAAATCTGGGGACAATATGCATTTTTATCTCCCTTCCTCTCTTATTCTGCAACAACTCTCCCCAGATTCCATTTTTACAATAGCCACTTCTTCTCTGTGAAGATTCCACATAAAAATAGGCACACCCATTAGGCTTGGCTTTCGGCAAACTCAGACTTATGAGATAGTGAATAAGCTTTTAGTTCAGAACTTCTCAATCAGACAAGTTGGTAAATATAGTAAATGGAGAGGAGTTTAAAAAAACTAGGAGATACTCAAGCCAGGTCTGCACCATAGGTAGACTTTAGAGACTCAAATTAGGCTGTGTTATGAATTTTTTTTTTGTAATAAAAAATGTAATGTAACAATGAGGGGCTTGAAAATATTTCTGAAGAGATCATTTTAAAAGTTTTTGCTTGCAGAAAAAGAATTACATGAACTGTCTAAGAAGAAACAGCAGTTACTGGAAGTGCTGGAATCTAATTGGAAAGAACTACAAGAAATTCAAGAACTTGCAGCTACCCAACCAGACAGTGTCAACGGTATATGTGATATTATTTCTTTTATTTATTTATTTGTGTGTGTGTGTGTGTACACAGACATATTTGGAATCAGGTAGTTAAACATGGGTACTTGGAAAGAAGGTACTTGATTGCCAGTAACCTTTGCTATTGTTAGTCTTTCATTTTATACTACAGTATGTTAAAATTGTTTCAGGGAGGCTTGAAAAGTGCTCACAGATTAATCTGGAAGTCATCAGGATGGAAAAGTCTGTCCTCTTTAACAAGTGTGCTGCCTGTATGCTTATTTGTAGTTGTAAATATATGTTTTAGCCTTTGAGAGTCCAAATTTGCAATGCTACAAACACACTTCATTGGATGGATTGGATGAAGCAAGCTGCATCACACAAAAGCTTATGAATTTTAATCAAACGTGTTAGTCAGAAAAGGTTCTACCAGAATTCTTCTGATTTTATGCCTTGTCAGGAAACCTGTTCAGCTGCAAAAAGAGCAATTAGCTTGGCCTTATAGAAAACAGATGGGAGAGAGCCTGGATCAGGAAATTTTCACTTAAGCTCAGATATGAATACTGTAGGTTAAAGATAATGCTGTTGGAGAAAGAGGCATAGGAATTTATTCTTAGTTCTCCTGGCATTTGTAGAACAGTAGTGTTGCAATTCATACTCAAGCTGGGTTACATTCTTGAGAATACAGTACAGACAAAAATTCTTCCCTGCCAAAATCATTTAATAGTTTTAACATCCATTCTGCAGTGTGTGAAATGCTCTGCAATTTAATCTCTGCGAATGGATGGAAGTTTTAGTAAGATACATACTAATCATTAGAATGTTGAAATCTAGATAATATTAAAGATGACCTTAATGAACTAAATATTTTTATGTTATGTAGAGCATAAACTACAGGAGTTAACTGAGCAAAGAAGATGCTTGGCCACTGAGCTGGAGGCTACTTTAGCTGGTATACAAAATGTATGTCATCGTGCTTCAGAAAGAACTATGTTTATACCACCTTCTGGTAAGTACAAATAAACTAAGTATTTTAGAAAAGGTGGCATTGATCATACATGTTGTTTTGGTACTGTAAAGCTAGCAATCAGTGTAATTAGTGAGGCTATCAGAGAGAGAAGGACAACTGGAGACCTTTCCCTCCAGCCTGGATTCAAATTAATTTGAGAAGTCCAGTGTATCTGCATTAATGTTTATTCATTTTCATGGCATTTATATTTTTGATACCTTATTCAGACCTTGTGTCACTCTGTTCAGAACTGAGGACTATACAGGTAGTCCTGGTTGAAAGACCACTTCTTCAGTGACCATTCGAAGTTACAACGGTAGCGAACGAGGGGAACTTATGGTCGTTCCTCATAGTTGTGGCTATCGTAGCATCCCCACAGTCATGTGATCACAATTTAGGTGCTTGGCAACCGGCTTGCAATTACGACACTTGCAGCATCCCACAGTTATGCGATCACCATTTATGACCTTCACTGCCAGTTTCTGACAAGCAAAGTCAATGGGGAAACTGGCAGGAGATCACAGATGGTGATCATGTGACCGTGGCACACTGCAACTGCATGGGATTCGCCTAATTATGGCAACTGGAACTGCCACAACTGCCATTGTAAGTTGGTGTGGTCATGTGATGTCATGTTTTATGACCACTTTGCTTAGCGATGGAGTTGCTGGTCCCAATTACCATCATTAAGGGAGGACTAGCTGTACTTTTCAGGTTTTACAATAATGAAATCTTTCATCTGACAGAACATTTATCTGGTTGTAGTCACACTTTCTGACGTACCTTGCTGCAGATTTTTTATTGGAGGGAGGGTCACTGTAGTAGCCCTTCAGCTATGATGAAACACTATATAAGTAATTATGAATATTTTCATTTGGTTTAACTCATATTCTGGATATGGACGGATTTTCAGGTTTCTATCTGGGTCAGCTTTGTGTCTGTGTTTAATGTCAGTAAATCTGGGTTTTAAATGTTAGTTTGCTAGATTCTCACATTTTTTACATTTAATTTCTTTAGTTATGTTGATAAATTATGGGTCATCTTCTGGTGACCCCATGAAGAAATGCTTACTGTTTCAACTTGTCTCCTGGAATATCCTTATATTGTAGCTCTTTCAAAGATAGCACTATAAGTCCTTTAATCCCATTCATCCAATTTATCTTTTGGTTTTCCCTTCTATTTCTCTCAAGCTTGCCAAGCATAATGATTTTCCTGGTCCATCATCCTCTTGCATGACAGGCCCAAAATATGTGAGTTTGTGCTTGCCGATCATTTCCTTAAGGGAGCAGTCAGCCTTACTATGGTCATGAGTTACTGACTGACACTACTTCTTTTATTAACATCTTCAGATCCATATTTGGGTGTCCAGCTTTCACAGATGTCCACTACCACTTTAATGATTCTCATCTTGATTAACATAGCAGTTGCCTCATCTTTCATGATCTTGTCTGAAAGAGAAGGATATTTCTGTAAGAGATTTATGTTATTGCCTTCTTTCCCCCCCTTTAAATATTGTTATCTCTGTATCTCAAATGTTAGTGCTATTGTGGATGTTTGAGGTGATGACAATTCTCTAAGTCATCTTAGAGAACAAACTAACAAACTTTTTTTATTTACATATCTCAAATAGTGCTTTAGCTTTTTATCTTGATGTAGTTGTCATCTCTCTTTGAATTGTGATCCTCAGTGTACACTTTAAGCAAATCTGGAGACAGTATGCATCCTTATCTCACTCCATTTCTTACTCTAAAACACTCTGTTTTTCAAGATTCTGTTTTTATAGTGATTTCTTCCCTCTAAAGATTTCTCAGAAAAATAGTCAGGTGTTTTAGCATGCCTTGAGCCATATTTGCATTTTGTCTTCAGAATTAAAGCCGCTGTATATTAATGTTATATTCAGCTTTGGATGTAAAATATAAATAATTTTATATTTATTAACATAAGCATTTCATATCACAGTTAATACTGATATAATACATTTTATTTTTTTATCTTTAAGGGTCTAAGTTATCTAAACATTAGAGTGTTAATATTCTCTAGTCAACACTATAAATGCCAATGTATCAAAATAATATAATGTATTATGTATATCTTATAACAATATAATAAAACTTTTTTTAAAAAAAAGAAAAGAAAACTACAAACAAACAAACAAACAAAAAGAATTAAAGGCCTTGAGGCATTGTGTACAATTTTAAGGCTTAGCAACCATCCTACTTGATGTGAATTTGTCTAAATATGTTTTAGTAGTTACTGTATGGATCTGCTTTATCGGTTTTTAAGAAGTTTTATATGTTTCTATTTTATATTCATCATGTTTATCTTATTCTTAATCATACACAGTTTAAAATATTTTAAAATAATACATAAACTCATGAGTTCTGAACCTATTTTTCAAGAGATGAGTGAAAAACATTTCTGCTTGCAGAAAGAGAATTACCTGAGCTGTTGATGAAGAAGCAACAGTTACTGGAAATGTTGGAATCAAATAAAAAAGGGCTACACGATGCTCAGGCTCTTGCAGCTGCCCAGCCAGGCAGTATCAGTGGTATGTATCTGGGTTTTCTCATAATGTGAGCAACAGTATTAAACATATATAATTAGGAATATAGGAACCTGCTTTATATTAGTTGGACCAGTGATACATCTGTCTATCTGACTCAGTATTATAGAAATTGATTGCAATGTCATCCAGGAGGGTTTGTTTTTTTTTGTCCGTGGAGATACATAAAACTGAACATAGGCACTTCACAATTGAGTTATATCCCCTTCGTTTAGTAACTGGGGATGGAATCAAAAGAAACTGTGGGTGAGGGAATGCAAAGAGCTATACTGAGGAGGAAAACATTGGGTTTCATAAGCCTGCTTATATATGGACAACATTTGTACCTCACTCACTGTTTATAACTGCATTTTCAATATTCAGACAGCAGGCAAACAAAAATGAAGTGGACAATGTATATGACAATAAATACAAGTTTTTGTGCAAACTTAAGAAAAAGTCTCAAGTTCAGTTTCCCAGATTTGATATACTCATAAATGTAAGAAACAAAGAAGAATTAAACTTGTCATATTAAAAAAGATGAGAAACTGGAGGAAATTGAAAGTTTCACTTATCTCAACTTATAGAGCCTTTGAATGCTGTCTTTTACGAAGTACGTGGGAGGACGGGGTTGGGCAATCTATCAAAATGCTTGTCTTACTCTAGAAAATACTGAAACCATATTGGTATAGGTGCAGATTCCACTAGTTGGGGCTGTACATATGACCATCCAGAAAACCTCAGTTACTATAAACAACATATTCTTACATCATTCATACTTTTAAAAGAATGTTTAAAATAATGCATTATTGATCTGGATTTCATCTTAAAATTGCCCATTCTTTTGCAGCTAATTAATTCTGAAAGTGCTACTTACAATAAACAGCACCTTTTCAGGCAAATAGGAACAGTGAGAGATGAAGAAATTTTCAGCAGAAAGTAGTATGGATCAGTAGCATGTTCTGGGTTATTACTCCAAATTAAAATAGTCAGTTTTTAAAAGCAGATATAACATAATTTGTAGTTTGACTCTAGAAAGAGCCTCTTCAGATGCCAAAATACGGTTAACAACTGATTTTTAAGGGCTCTGCTATGCATTATCTTTTATGAGATAGTGTATGTAAAGTCTCTTGACATTTTAGTAAATGTTGCAAAATTAAATAGGCATCCATTAAGTCAACCAACCTACAGGAACGAAATCCAAATCAACCCCATAAAAAGGCAAACCACTTCGGTATTGCTGCCAGAAAAACTTTATGGACATGGCTATAATAATGTCAGCCTTGGAAAGCAGACCAGATCAAGAAACCAATACTATGTAGGCCTAAAACTACTTTTATTAAAATGACTATAGAAAAGGACCCCACCCCACTCCAAGTCCTGCTGTGCTGCCTCATTGTGGTGTGGTGTGTATGTGTGTGTGTGTGCTCCTAGGAAGGATGGGCAAAGAAGGTCAGGAGTATATGCCAAGAATATATATTCCCAGCAGGGTCATCCAAGGCATGAAGGTCATCCCAGCTGCCCAGCTAAAGCAAGCAGGCACCTATATTAGGCAGCAGAGATATAGGAAGATGCCAGAGGCAGACAATCACTTTAGTGACAATGGCAAAGGCATTAATTCATACTGTGTGGGAGAAGGCAATGGTAAACTACTTCTGTATTTTTACCAAGAAAACCACATGAATAGAAAATATAAAATGATTGATGATAGTGCCGGATGATAGCTCCCTCAGGTTGGATTGCACTCAACATGCTACTGAAGAAGAGATGAGGATCTTTTGGAGAACTAATGATGTTTTTGATGTGGCTATATTAAAGCCTTTGGGACATCTAGTTGCTGATGTTGTCACACAGGAAAAGAAAATCCAAAGCTGCAAAATTAGAATTACAGTAGGAACATGGAACGTAAGAAGCATGACACAGGAAAAGTCAACACAGTGAAGGATGAAATGAAATGACTACAAATTGACATCATAGGCATCAGTGAATTGAGATGTACTGGGATGGGACACTTTCAGTCAGAAGATCACACCGTTTATTACTCAGGACATGAAAAACGAAGAAGAAATGCTGTTGTTTTTATAGTTAGGAAGGGTATAGCAAGAACAGTACTTGGCTACAATGCAATCAATGTCTGAATAATATTGATTAGACTTTGTGGACAACCCTTTAATATGACAGTCATTTAAGTTTATGCTCCAACCACTGATGCAGAAGAAAGGGAGGTTGAGGAGTTTTATGACAAGTCCAATTTGAAATTGACAGAATATGCAAGCAAGATGTGCTGCTTGTGATTGGAGACTGGAATGCCAAAGTTGGAAACATGAAAGAAGAAAATGTAGTTGGATTATATGGCTTAGGAAACTGAAACGAAGGAGACCGACTTATCAATTTCTGCCACTCCAGTGATTTCTTCATAGTTAACGCTGTCTTCAAACAACCAAAACAACACCTGTATAAATGGACATCACCAGATGGAGTATAGAGAAACTCAGCCTCATGATAGAATAAAGAGGCTAGCTTCATTTTGAAGAGATGGAATGCCTGGGGAATTTGACAATCATAAGTAGTATGCTGTCATTTTAGTACCATAGTTCATTTAGTTGCCATTCAGTGTTCATTTAGTTGCCACTCAGACCATTTTGGGGTCATAGTAATGGGACAACCAGCTGCCTGGTGTTGTAAAGTGAAGGCCAAAGTACTTATAAGAAGTTACTTGGTCAGTGGGACTGGGGCCCACATTTCATATATGTCTAAGAGAGTTCTGCCCAAACTATAGCTTTTGTATTTTGTAACTGATGGTCTAAGAGTTTGTTGAGCAATACTGGTCTAAAGAGGACAACAACCTGCATAAACCAATTTGTGTGTTGGAGACTAAGATCAAGTTATCAGCAAAGAGAACCATCCTGTCAACAACAGGAAAAAAAAAGCTTTTTTCCTTCAAGATTAACACAAGATCATTTATAAAAAGACTGAATAAAGGAGAGTCTAAGACACAGCCCTGTTTGATCTATTCCCCTAGGTGTGGGGATGGCATCTTTCAGATGGCCTGTTGGGGAGAACTTAAATTGCATTTGGGCATTTGTGGCTATCAAAACCACAAAAAATCTGGTTACTGATGGTGCCTGCAGTGAAAGAGAAGCATCATGCTTTACAAGGACACATACAATCAGACACATACAATGGGAACATGGAAATTAAGAAGCATGATCCCAAGGAAAACCTGAAATTGTCAAAGCAGAAATGAAGGTTCCTAAATTGGAATATATGAACTTAGCTGGACAGGAAGGGTCATATCATCTCAGATAACAATATGATAAATTTTCAGGGGAATGCGTTCATACAAAATAATAGAGTGGCAATGATAATAAAAAAGAATATTATTAAATTATGCTTAGCTATAACCAAATTAGTGGCATCATCAGCTACAGTATCTAAAATAGAGGATACCCAGAAAACATCAGTTATACAAGTCTGTGCACCTACTGTAGATTTAGCAGAGAAAAATACTGAGGAATTATTTAGTAAAAGGCAAAAGTCCTTAGATGCAACATCAGGAAAAATCATACTACTAATGAGGGATTGAATTGCAAAAAAGTTAGTTTGGTGTAGTTGTTAAGATTTTGGACTAGGACTGGGAAGATCCAGATTAAAGCCCATTTTTAATTATGGAATTCATTGAGTAACTTTGGGCCAGTCACTCTGTCTCAGCCCAAACCTCACAAGGTTACAAAGTTGGTGTGGAGAAAGTTGAAAGAGATAGTATTATGCTCACTGTCTTGATTTCCTAGAGGATACAAATCTAACAAATAAATACATAAATAGAAGCTGGAGAAATGGAGGAACTATAAGATTTGAATTGGGTAAGTGAAATGATGTGAGAGATAAATTAATGGAGTTCTGCAAAGAGAATCTTTTATTTGTTGCCAGCACTCCTTCAAACAGCATAAACAAACTCTGCACTTGAACAGGACTAGATGGGCAACACCAGAAGCAAACATACTATATAATAGGACACAGAAGATGTTCAGTCTAGTCAGCCAGGACATTTTCAGGTTCTATGGAACCAGGCACAAATTACTGGACTCAAATGCATGGTTAAATATGAGTCACTTGTGATTTGGTGGCCTTATAAATAGAATTAAATAAATAAATACAGATGTAGTCAGAATATACCATCAATGAAGTACACTTAAGGAACAGATGTAATACATGTAAGTTATGTAGAAATGAACTTGAACCATGTGAAGAAAATTGGAGCAGAAAAAATATTTCCAAAATTTCAAAGAGGGAAAGATCCAAGCAGTTTTCTGAGTAAGCCGTTGTATTAGGCAGTAAAAAAGAAAGAAAATGAAAGGTTTGGGCAACAAGGGTGCATGATGATTGACTGCAGACTACCATAATCAAACAAGAAATGCCAAGGAAGGAATGGCAGAGAAATATAACACAAAAAGGAAAATTAGAGATCTTTTTAAGAAGCTCAGAGAAGTTACAAGAAAGTGTATTGCTAAGATAGGAATATTCAAAAGTAAATGTGGAAAAGTTCTGATAGAAGAAAATGAGGTTAAAGGAAGATGGAAAAATTATGTTGAAAACCTTTACAAATGAGATTCTAGAATGACAGGAACATTTTAGAAAGCAAATATATTCAGGAACTAACCTCACTAGAGAGAGGTTATAAAAAGCAATCAACTAGCTGTCAAACAGAAAAGCATCAGTCACAGATGAAATAACCACTGAACTGCTTAAAGCAAATATCATTTACATGTGATATTTGATAGAAATTGTGATAGCCTGCTAATAGATTGATTTCAAAGTGTATTACTATTTTTATGAAGTTATATATAATTTTTACAGATCATAAGCTACAAGAACTAATCGAGCAAAGAAGATCTCTCATTGCAAATCTGGAGACAACTATGCATGAAATACAAAAAGCACAGGAACTTAATTCTGAAGGTGTTTCTATTGTACAACCTGCTGGTAAGGAGAAAATAAATTACATTGTGAATTTTACAAATATTTACTAAGCATATGCTGCTTCTGAATTGAAGCTCTGATGATTTGGGGATAACATACAGACTAGGTCTCATCATTCTTTCTGGATTCTAGAGACAGAAAATTGAATAACATAGTTCTTCCCCTCTCCTGATGAAACCTCACTGATTTAGTTTCTTGACTATTTTCAAGAGCATTTTGTCTTTTCTTGTTAAAATGGGTAGTAACTGGAAAACTTACACATCCTTTTCTCCTTTTTCTCCTCACTATTTAATTTGCTTCTAATGGTTATTCTGTATATTTTACCATAAAAAAAAACCTATTGCTTACCTTCACCCTTTCCTATCCGTTTGCTTTTGCTCTGTTTAACAATGGCAAAAATTAGGAAGAAAGCAGGAAACAAGCTTAGCAAGTCAGCAAAAACACTCTGTGAAAGTTATTGACTCAGAGAGCTATGTGACCTCCTGCATCAGGACTTTTCCCAATGAGCAGTGTGAAAAATCTTAAGACTTATATGTACAGTAAGAGCAAAGGAATAAACCCTATTCCCAATCCTTCTCTCTATCTCCAGACTAACACAATGAAAGAGACTAGTTGTCCTTGAACATAAGCTGTCCAATGGCCAGTTCTCAGCCAGCTACCTCTTTCCTGATCTATCAGACTAGGAACTCATGGACTACAGTTTCTGGTGGTAAGACCATGTCAAGCCACCAGGTGTCAGCAAAGCATAACAATTGCTTTTTCCGAGTTTGACTGCACAACAGTCAGTCTCTTCATCTTTGCCTTTTTAAACAGTTTTCTGGGATTTTCAGTGATGAACTCTTACTTTTCCCAGTGCCAGAGAACAGATTGATTCAAATTGATATGGTATTGTGGTATTATAATTAAAAACATATACGAGCCCCACAGTTTATCTAAAGGGAAAAGCAGTCACTTTTCTCTCCCTTTATCATCTTCATCTAGGTCTCCTCTTCATAGTAACAAAAGTTTAACATGCTAAAAGAAACAGAAAACAAGGTACTAAAAAAACTAAACCAAAATTTAAGAGGCACCATTCCTCTACATTTTTTTCAGAAGATGTTTTGTACCAATATAAGAATAGTTTCAGCTTCATCATCTAGCATATATCTGTTTTAGAAAGAACCATCTAATCATCAATGTATAAGTAACCTATTTACTTATACAAATTACTCCCCAAATTACTCATATTCATACCAAGAATCTAAACTGAATACAGTATCTATAAAATGCACGGAATGCTAGACTAAGAACTAACTTGTCATGAACTCAATATATACCTGATGAAAGGCAATGGTCTGACTAGGATTTTGATACTGAAATGAATGAAGGCTTTCATGTTATTTCATTATGAAGATTACTTCTTTGTTCCAAAAGTTTTTCCATTCAAAATCTGCAGCAATAGGTACAAAAGACTATCCAGCCTCATATAAATGTTGCTGTAATTTTTGCAGAAAGCAAGCCACTCCAGCGAGTGGTAAACACTTCTGTAGTGCTGTGCCAATCCTCTGGAAAATACCCCTCCTCCTGCTGCCCCTTCCCTCCTCCAAATCTGACATGCCACTTTAGCTATCCACCTGAAAGCAGTTTAAAGCATGACTTTTCTGGCTTTACTTATATGTTCAGATGAGGGGCATTTTAAAAAATTAATGATTTTTTTTCAGAGTTGTTATGATGTTTAAGACTTTCATTGTTTTAAATCATTTTGTTTGTAATCCACCCACAGATGTGTAATTATGGTGATATAGAAATATTGTAAATAAATAAAAACCCTCCATCTTTAGCTTGACATTGTAATAGAATTACTATAACTTTTCCTAAGTTGCAGTGCATGATCTTACTATTCAGTTGATCAATAGTCCTGTTATAGTCCTGTTGCCAAGAGTAGTGACTCTAGAAGATGGGGAGATATTCCTTGAAAATCCTATTTTACAAAATTGAGGTTTTACTGTATATAAGTGACATGGAACCAGTGCCTATGCAATAAAACCTTCATAAATATTATCAAAAGCCTCTGTTATGGTAAAAATTATTTTTGCTTGATCCTAACCAAGGTCCAAGAAAATGCACAGAACCTTACTGAAAATGTTTAAAGCTTCAGTCTTCATTATTGATACCATTTTAGCATCCAATTATCTTCTACAGCCTCTTCAGATATTGCTGGACACAGTATATTATGGCTCAAGCCCTGGAATCTAGATGGAAGTTCCAAATTACCTTTGGTTTCATATCTTTTTCTGGTTCCCTTTGGGGAGAAAGGCTCATAGATACTACCAGAAAACCATAATACCTTCAGTTTCTTTACTTTTTTTTTTCATCCCCATGATTTCCTTTTTGTTCCAGAGACTAACTCTTAACAGACCTTTTGAAACAGCCAGATGTTCAAGTACAACAACTCGCCTTCCAATACACAGGGTACTTCCCAAACTGCTGGAGAAGGCAGCACTTCTGACATCATCATTTCTTCAGTACTATAGGTGGAAATAATCCACAAGGGCAGATTATTTCATAGATATTCCTAGAATACCAAGTAAATTCTGCCACCAACTTTAAAATGTCCTTTAAAAAAAAGACATGGTAAATCAGTATAGCCAAAAGATAAGTTTCAAATGTGAAGACAATAGAAAAGTTTTATTCCTTCAAAAATTCCATCTCCTTTTTCACTTGCACCCTTTTCTCCTATTTTATTTTCCATGTTCCAGAATTTGGTACAGTTTTATTCTCTTCTTCTCTTTTCCTCTTTGAAAGCCTTAGCATCTATGCTCAACAACCGTCATAGGATCATGTATTGATTATAATAGACAACACTGTAGCAAAAGCTGTCATGAATGAGAACAAAACCTTATTTCTTGCACCCAGAAGTAGTTGCCTTTCTGTCTGCACTGAATTGCGTCCATCCATATATATCATATCAGAAGAATTTTCAACAACAGAATTAACTAGCTGAGCTGGAACCTAGACATGCTCACAGTGATAATGTCTGGTCAGACATATTCACATTTCTGTTAAATTGCAAAATTCAGTGATTTTTCCCCCAGGTTCCCATCAGAAGGAACAAAAGGAGTGGATGCTGTGACCACAGCCTGACACAATAGGTCTCCTGTATGCATTTCTCCCTGTTTCCCTCCTAATAAGAATCTTCTGAAATTCTATATGCATTGGTAATGCTAATAGCATTTTTCTGGGCCAAGTATCTTGATTCTTGAAGATAATGAACCTGCCAATCTCACAAGAGTGGTTTCTTCAAAATAGTATGTATCTCTTAACTCAGTGGCTACTTCACATTCAGGCCCAAGTGGCTACACTTAAACTCATGGAAACTAAAAGGAGAAAACTAATTAAATGTGGGTCATAGGTACCACAATATCTTTGAGAAAGCCATCACCCAATCAGATTAAAGAAGTTACCTAGAAAACTAATGCCAGAGAGTGCAAAACAAATAATATACACATCTCTTTCTAGGAAGCTTGAAAGAAACTCCTGCTTTCCTCCAAGTAGGCCTACAGACCACCTCTCTCACTTCATCTTTATCTAGAAAATCACCCTTCTTAGTCTACCAGTAGTCATAGCTTTTCAGGGTAGAAGAGCCACATAGTCCTGCAAACCCTTTAAAGAACTCCAATTAAATCTTTAAAGATGGTGACCCTGAGGTCCACAACACGTATTTTAGAATTTTTATTTCATATGGCTTTAATTGACATAAATCTCTTAAATTGACTTTCTTTCTCATGTCTTCTCCTTTAACATTTTAATATTTTTTTACCTTTTTTGTTTAAATTTTAGGCATTAGCGTTCCCTTTTTCCTTTAATCGTTGAGTCTATTAGAGAAGGAGATGGTGAACATAAGTTATTTTTGCCTAGATTAGAGTTCATGTATAATCTTCTCTTCCATCCAAATGCCATCACTGAAGTCATCAGAGGGTTCAGAAATACTGAGACCATATGGTCAGTAACACTTTATGTTACCTTTTAATTGGTATTGGTATTGAATTTGAAGTGCTTGAATTGCCTTGAGGACCCTTTTTTACCCCAGAAAAGTAGGATAAAATTATATAGACAAATACATGCAAAAAAATGAAGAGTATAGCATAGGTCTGTGTGGCTTGAGGGTTAGGGTTAGCCCAGATTTTAAAATCTCTGCCTGTATCTTCTTAGTATGTAAATGTGATAGTATCAGAGATGGATGTTTTCAGGTTATTTTGCTACATTCCCACAAGGATTTCATTTACTTATTTACCTAGTCTTAGAAGGTGGAATTTGCAGTGGACAAAGTTGTTTTTCATTTCTATAATTCAGCTTTAATATCTTTTTATATATATAATTTTTATTAAGAGTTTTAACAACAATAAGAAGAACTAATACAAACTAAAGTAAAACGAGAAAGGAGAAAGAAAAAGGGAGAGATAAAAGAAAAAATGAAAAGTGCAAAAAAGAAAAAGTAAGAGGAAGATTAAAAATAAGAAAGAAGAAAAGTTGAAAAAAGAAAATATAAAAAAAGATATAAAGGAGTGGCTTCCAATCTTCTTCACAGCAGTTTTAAATACAATTATATTTTAACCTCTGTCTCTAAGTTTACATTATGACTCTCTTCTTTCTATAGTCTATTGTGTCTAATCATCAAAACCATAAATCACAAATCATAAAGTTCATTTTTTTCTTTTTTAAGCAAAAAGTCCATAAGGGGTTTCCAGTCACAAATAAATATAGATATTGTCTTTTCCCTAATCAAACAAGTCAATTTAGTCATTTCAGCAAGTTCGGTCATCTTCAACCATTTCTCTGTTGTAGGTACTGCCAGATTTTCCCATCTTTGTTCATACAATAATTTTGCTGCAGTTATTATATGTAAAAACAGTGTTCCATGGCTCTTTTCTAACTGTTTATCCATCAGTTGCAGGAGGAAAAGTTCTGGTTTCAATTGAATATTAATCTTTAAAATCCTCTGAATCACTGAATGTATTTGAGCCCAATTTTTTTTAGGTTTTTTACACATCCACCAAGCATGATAAAATGACCCTTCTTGTTGTTTACATTTCCAACATAGATTTGAAGTACCTTTATACATTCTAGATAATTTTTCATATAACAATGATACATCATTTTATAAAAATTCTCTTTAAGATTGTAACATAATGTAAATTTCAATACTTTCAACCACATATTTTCCAATTGTTCCATTATATTACAAGTAATTCTAGCTTAATGACCATTTGTTTAATGACAGTTTGAAGTTACAGTGGCCTCAGAAAAAGTTATGACCTGTACTCGCACTTACGGCCATCGCAAACCATTGCACCACCCCCTGCGTCACATGATTGCGATTTGTGACCCTTTTTACAATGGTTGTTAAGTGAATCACAGGGTTGTTAAGCAAATCACATGGTCGTTAAAAAAACTCCATTGGGGAAGTTGGATTCGCTTAATAACCACGTGATTCGCTTAACGACTGAAGTGATTAGCTTAACGACTGTCATAAAAATGGTCGTAAAATCAGGTATGGTCGTGTGGTGACTTGCTTAACAACCACCCCACTTAATGACCAATTTTCTGGTCCCTATAACCTTCAGGTATGCCAATACAGTACCATCACTAGGTTTATTTCCAGTGGTTTCAAATAAATTGTAAGGCTTTCTATTTCTTTTACTCTGTCCTCCCTCTGGGCAACCCAAGATAAAGTTTCATAAATAATTAGCTTTAGAGATTGTGCTCCAAAAGAGGGTAAATAGAATATAATTTAAGACTTGAAAGCTAACATAAACTCTGGCTGTCTCATCCTCCACATCCCCTGGAAGTCCAAGAGCTGTTTTAATATTTAATACAACTTCAAAAGTAATAACAATGTTGATGTATTTTTTAAAATATTAATGTGTTACAGAAGGAGAATTATATGAGTTATCTGTAAAAAGGCAAGAAATATTGGAAAAACTGGAATCTGTTCAGAGAGAACTAGACGAAGCTTCAGTTGCTGCAGCTGCCCAGCCAGGCAGTGTCAGTGGTGTGTATCAATCGATTTCAAATGTTGCTTATTTTTTTTTCAATCCTCATAACTCCCTTCTTGTTAATTGTATCCCTCTATTGAAGAGAAGAGCGTTTTTCTTTTAATACAAAACAATATTTAGAGAAGACTGTAGGAATTGAAGTTGTATTCCAAATTCAAGGAAATCAAAGTACAGACAGTCCCCTACTTACGAACAGTTTATGTTCCAAGAGGCTGTTCATAAGTCCAAAAGGAGGCAGCAGACAGGGCAGCGATGTGGGCAGAGGAGCCCTATCTCCTGCTGCTAATGGGTTGCCAGGTGAGGCAGGAGAGGGGGTGGTAGTGGAGGAGAGGGGAGAAAAGGATGAGCCGGTGGGGTGAGGTGCACTCCACTGCCAGGCGAGGCAGGACACCTCCGCTCCCTCTCCCCTGCCCTCTACCTCCGCCCCCTCTCCTGCTTCACCCAGCAGTAGAGCGTGCTGCATAAACTAACCTTTTCTGGGAACTCCAACTCCAATGCAAACCTCCAATGCAAACGGAAGGCAGGACAAGGCTGGAAAGGTTTAGTCTGCTGCGCACTGCAAACTAACCCTTTCCCACCTTCTCCGGACTTCTGGTTCTGACATCTGGACCAACTTCCAGTTCTAATTTCCGGGTCCATCTTGTTCATATTGGTGAAAGTTCACAACATGAAAAATTGCAAGTAAGGGACTATCTGTATAGGATCATGGATCATTTTTCAGCAATTGGAGGTTTGAAAAAATTAAATCCAAATGGAAACTCATGTAGGACTAACTCAAAAGAATTGTGCATTGTACTTTTAAACAGCAGGGTCAGTACATCTCCCCTATGAGGAAGGGTTACAATATTTGGCTTGTTTAGTTGAAATTGAATAATGTGGGGCATTATCATTATTATTATTGTACTTTTATCCCAGCTTCGTGTGTGTGTGTGTGTGTGTTTCAACTCAATACCTATTATATCTGCCTCCTATTTTCTCACAATAGCAACCCTGTGAGGTGAGTTGGACTGAGAGAGAGTGGCTGGCCCAAACTCACCCAGCAAGCTTTTATGCCTAAGGGAGGCCTAGAGGTCACAGTCTCCTGCTTTCTAGGTCAGCACCTTAACCACTACACCACACATAGTGTCGAAGAAATTAGTAGTTAGATACTCATTTGAAACCGAAAGTGGGAGATTCAGGGCAGATAAAAGGAAGAACATAATCAGCTTGAAAGGGGATTAGAAAATATGAATGAAGAATAAGTCTGTAAATGACTATTCTATAGTATTTTTTCTTTGGTCTAATATTTTACATTACTGTGAAAAAGAATTTGTCCCAGAATGTTATAGTCCCAGGATGTTTTTAAGATACTACTGTGAAGCCTAGGTGCAGAAGGTTTATTTGCATCTACTCCCTTACTTCTCATTTTATCTTACATCAGTGTAATCACCACCGCCTCCCACCCTTTTTTGTACTTTGAAGTCAGCATGTGATAAATGGGAGTGTGTAGGAAAATCCCAACCCCCAAAATAATACCTGGGACTGTATTTTAACTGACTGATTTGACTGTCCTGTATTGCCTTTTCCTAGTGAAGTTCTTTTGCAACACAACAATTTAATAAGTGTGAAAGGTTTTTTGAAATCAAGTTAACATCCAGTGAATATTGATTATGATTGATTGATTGATTGATTGATTATGTACCATCAAGTCATTGTCAGTTCTTAGTGACCACATAGATAGATTTTCTCCATGACAATCTATCCCTAACATGGTCTTTCAGGTCTTCCAATGGTGCACCCATCGCCAGTGTAACTGAGTCCATCTACCTTGCTGCTGGTCGTCCTCTTCTTCTCTTGCCTTTTACCTTTCCCAGCATTAAAACTTTCTCCAGAGAGCTAGGTCTTTGTATAATGTGTCCAAAATAGGATAATTTGAACTTGGTCACTTGTGCCTTGAGTGAGAACTTTAGATTGACCAATGAATATTATAAATACAAATACTAATTTTTAAATTTCCAGATAATGTGATAGACCAATTGACTATAGCATATAGTGTAGCTATTTCAACATGTATGTTATTATTGATCTGATTTTTGTAGAGCATACATTATATAAACTTGCTGAGGAAAAAAGTCGTTTGGTTGAAGAACTAGGGCAAACTACAGTTAGTCTACTAAAAGCAGAGAGTGCTGCTTCAGAAAAAGTTTTAATTGGAAAACCTGCTGGTAAGTACAGATTAAATGAATGTATGTTTAAAGAAGGTGTTAAATTTAGGTATTTCCTCACTTTCACATATTGTGCCACATTGACATTATTGAGAGCTGACATAAGTCAATCATACGATTGCGTGTAGATCATGAAAATCCCTTTCATTCGTTCAACATGAACCGTTGAACCTATCAGAGGCAAAGGAGGTATAATAAGGCATCTTTCCTGGATTACAGTAAGCAGCTTTTATGGGCATTTATATTCTGTTTAGGTTGTTGGCTCACCTAGGAATAAGCATAATAAAAATACAAAAATTAGCACATTTAAGGTTTAGGTGGGGAAAAAAGTGTTAGGTTTCTGTTAACAGCTTTTAAATATTTGGCTTGCAAATAAGATCAGTACATTGTTTAAGCTGAATAAACTTTTGGCAAACTATGAAACATGGGAACCTGGCTTATCAGCCCAGATTGGTCGTCTCCCTTGCCCATTATCAATTAATCTGAATGTGAACGGCTTACAGGGGTCCCTTAGACAGCTGTCTTCTGAATGACCTGTTACTTGATCCTTTGAAGATGGTGGAGAGAATGGACTCGGTGAACTATGGACTCTTTATGAAAAGCAGCATTTTAAAGAAACAGTATCCCAATATTTAAATAGTTGGCACTGATTCCATAGGGAATTATATCTATAATTATAGGACCAGAAACAGGAGGAAACATAGTGCCACCTAGGATGTACAACACAATTGTGTTTGATCCCTAGACCAAGATGAATAAACCCCAGCATCTTGAGCCCATAATGCTGAACCTCAGTGGTGAAATTACTATTTTCTCACTTGTGTGACTTGAGAACATTTTGGGATTGGATGGGGTTTAAGGGTCGGAATCTTAGCAGTATGCCTCCCAGATGTTTCCTGTTCCCGTTCTCATTCTGAGTGCTGCCCCCAACAACACAACAAAACATGCTGAAAATTTTTGTCATTGCTACTTCTTTGCTTTATTAGAGGGCCTTCTGCATTTTGCAACTTCCAAAACTCCCAAAATGGCCCCGTCCCCCAATTTTGAGCTGTATTTTTGGGCTTTAGATGATTAAGAGTGGGAAAGACAGTGGTTTACTTCTCAGAAGCACTGGGAAAACAAGGTAAAAAAAAAGTTAGCTATGCCTTTTTTGATATCATAGGCCTTTGCCTAAGGCCTTAAGGACTGGGAAAGTAGTTACAACTCCTGATATCTCAGAAATTATCTACTTCTTTAGTCCATTGTTACATAAATATTATCATCATGGCCTCTCATATTTTTAAAAATAAACATATTCATCTTCCAATACTGATGAATGTATGTGAAGATGCTATTTTCCTACAGATTGAAAAGCAGGGAGGATTGGGACTTTTTCCATTGTCCTTCCAAAGAGATAACCGAGAGGGAAAAAAATCTTTTGACGTTCCTTGGCGTTCTCTTGTCTGAAATCTGTTTTTTTTTTTTTAGTTTTTGGTTGTCAATCTAAATGGAGTTGTATAATGGAGTTGCATAATATTTTCAGATACCTTCACTACAGTGTCATTATTTCTTGTCTTTCAGTTTGTTTTAACATATTTAAGATATTTGCCATTTTAATGAAATGATCCATATATATTTTTAATGCATTTTACCAAATGAGATGTAAGATATAATTATTTTCATGGAATAACTTTAAAACCATTTTTATCTGAAGAAAGGGAATTATATGACCTATCAGTGAAGAAGAAAGAATTACAAGAAAAGTTGCAGTCCAATCAGAAAGAGATAGATGAAGCCCAGGCTCTTGCATCCATTCAGCCGGGCAGTATCAGTGGTAAGGGTTACTGTATTTCCCCATGCTTTGAACTAAAGCCTTGAACAAGAAGTATTACCACTACTATAATTTAATTAATTAATTCTTATACTGTTCTTCCTTCCAAAGGAAGCCAGAGCAGCGTGCAAAAACTAACTAAATAAAAATGATATTGCATAAAAAGCATTTTATTAACTGCAGTGAAAATAAACTCCTGTAAAATAAAATAATACAACAATGGGAGTACAGTAATTAAAAGACACTTTGTTCCTACCGCTATTGTGAGCATGCAAATGCCCAGGTGAATAAGTATATGTTCAACTGAGATTTAAAACTATATCACATGGATGCCAGCACTAGATCTTTTGGGAGAGAATTCCATAATTGGGAAACTTGTAGTGAGAAAACTGTGACAAAAATTAATTGATACCTTTTATGCATATACAAGTCTTTCTATCTTATATACACAAACCACTTTCACACAGAGAAACCCATGTCTCTTTTGCACACACAGACCCCCCCCCCCACATTCTCCTTTTTTTTTTCTCTGTAGTAGAAAAAAAAAAAAAAAAAAAAA